CAGGCTTACTCTGTTAATGTGTGCCAATGCTAGTGGTGATTGCAAAGTGAAGACTTTATTGGTGTATCACTCTGAAACTCCCAGAGCATTCAGGCAAAAGAATATCCTCAAGGCTAATTTGTGTGTGCTGTGGAGGGCAAACAGTAAGGCATGGGTCACTAGGAACTTTTTCTATGACTGGTTACACCATGCATTTGCCCCCACTGTGAAAAATTACCTAATTGAAAATAAATTAGACCTTAAGTGCCTCCTGGTGTTAGGCAATGCCCCTGGTCATCCTACAGACTTGGCAGAGCGACTTTGTGGGGACATGAGCTTCATTAAGGCCAAGTTTTTGCCTCCTAATATCACTCCTCTCCTGCAGCCCATGGACCAGCAGGTCATTGCAAACTTCAAAAAACTGTACACAAAAGCTCTGTTTGAAAGGTGCTTTGTAGTGACCTCAGAAACTCAACTGACTAAGAGAGTTTTGGAGAGATCACTTTAATATCCTTAATTGTGTAAACCTTATAGGTAAGGCTTGGGAGGGAGTGACTAAGAGGACCTTGAACTCTGCTTGGAAGAAACTGTGGCCAGAATGTGTAGACCAAAGGGATTTTGAAGGATTTGAGGCTAACCCTGAGAGGCGTATGCCAGTTGAGGAATCAATTGTGGCATTGGGGAAGTCTTTGGGGTTGGAGGTTAGTGGGGAGGATGTGGAAGAGTTGGTGGAGGAGGACAATGAAGAACTAACCACTGATGAGCTGCTAGATCATCTTCAACAGCAAGAGGCCACACCTGAGGAAACTGCTTTGGAGGAGGGGAGAGAGAAATTAAGAAGTTGCCTACTTCAAAGATTAAGGAAAGTGGCTTGAAGTGCAAACCTTTATGGATGAAAATCACCCTCACACAGCTATTGCAAGCCGTGTTGGCAACCTGTACACTGACAATGTTGTGAACCACTTTAGGAAAGTCATAAAGGAACGAGAAGTACAGACCTCTATGGACAGATATGTTGTGCGACAGAAGTCCGGTGACTCTGAAGCTGGTCCTAGTGGCATTAAAAGAAGAAGAGAAGTAACCCCGGAAAAGGACTTGACACCTCAATTCCTAATGGAAGGGGATTCCCCTTCTAAACACTAAGACTATCAAAACTCTCCCCTCCTCCCACCCCATCAATCATCACCAGATCTTCAATAAAGGTAAGTGTCATGTAACTGTGCATGTCTTCTTCAGTTTGTGTGTACAGTGGACCCCCGCATAATGATTACCTCCGAATGCGACCAATTATGTAAGTGTATTTATGTAAGTGCGTTTGTACGTGTATGTTTGGGGGTCTGAAATGGACTAATCTACTTCACAATATTCCTTATGGGAATAAATTCGGTCAGTACTGGCACCTGAACATACTTACGGAGTGAAAAAATATCGTTAACCGGGGGTCCACTGTATTAAAATAAATATTTCATGTGGTAAAAAATTTTTTTTTTTCATGCTTTTGGGTGTCTTGCACGGATTAATTTCATTTTCATTATTTCTAATGGGGAAAATTAATTCGCCTAATGATAATTTCACCTAACATTGAGCTCTCAGGAATGGATTAATAACGTTATGCGAGGGTCCACTGTATTTGTCCAGCCAGCAATTGACACCAATTGCCCTGGACAAGCATTCGTTTCCAACTCCTCTCCTTGGCAAAATACCACATGACAGGGTTCCCACCCTTCCTCCTAATTATCTCTATTGCTGACTTATACCTGCTAATCAGGTCCTCACTCCTACGTCTGCCAACATCGTTGCCTCCAGCACTGAGACAGATAATAGGATTGCTCCCATTACCTCTCATGATGTCATCCAGACGACTAACAATATCCTCCATCCCAGCCCCAGGAAAGCAAACCCTCTGTCTCCTACTCATGTCCTTCAAGCAGAATGCCCTATCCATGTATTTAACCTGGCTATCCCCAACGACAACAATATTCTTACCTTCCTTGGTGTCATTCCTCGTGACATTCCCAGTAGTCGACTCACATTCATCGGGTAGCACGGAGAATGCATTAGATGTTTTCCATTAGCTCATCAGTTGTTAGCTCTTCATTGTGGTCCTCCACCAACTCTTCCACATCCTCCAAACTCACATCCAACCCCACGGAATTCCCCAGTGCCATAATTGATTGCACAACAGGTGAAGGGTCGACAGGGTCAGCCTCAAATCGTTCAAAATCCTTTTTTTGGGCACAATCTGGCCACAATTTTCTCCAAGCAGAGTTCACCATCCTGGAAGTCACTCCCTGCCAAGTCTTATCTATAAGGCCTATGCAGTGGAAGATATTGAAGTGATTCTTCCAGAACTCTTTTAGGGTCAATTCAGAGTCTGAGGTTATGTCAAAGCACCTCTGAAACATTTTGAAGTTTGCATTGATCTGCTGGTCCATGCGCTGGGTGAGAGGAGTGATGTTAGGAGGCAAGAACTTCCCTGTTACAAAACTGAATTCCTTAGACAATTGGTCTTCCAAGTCTGGAGGATGAGCAGGAGCATTGTCCATTAACAGGAGGCACTTGATTGGCAATTTATTATCCTGGAGGTATTTCTTCACACTCGGGCCAAACACTTCATTCAATCATTCCAGGAAAATTTCCCTTGTGACTCATGCCCTACTGTTAGCCTTCCATATCACACACAATTTACTCTTGAACATTCTTGAACATTCTGGGATTTTCAGAGTGATACAAAAGTAAAGACTCCACTTTGAAATCCCCACTAGCATTACCACACAACAAGAGTGTTAGACTGTCTCTCAGAGGCTTGTGTCCTGGGAGTGCCTTTTCCTCCTGCATAATATAGGCCCACTTCAGCATTTTCTTCCAAAACAGGCCTGTTTCGTCACAATTGAACACTTGTTCGGGTTGGAATTTTTCAGCCTCTACATAACCTCTGAATTCCCACATGAATTTTTCAGCCACTTGTTTATCAGAACTGGCACCCTTAATACAGTGTGTATACCACTTCGCTTCTTGAATTTTTCGAACCAGCCTTTGCTGGCCTTAAATTCACCAGCATCAGCACTCATTTCAGGCAGTTTCTTTATGAGATCATCATGCAACTGCCTTGCCTTTTCACAAATTATGGACTGCGCAACACTATCTCCTGCTAACTCTTTCTCCATGATCCACACCAACAATTTCTCCACTTCTTCAATTGTTTGGGATCCCTGTTTGGGTATCGCATTCACCCCTTTCACAACATCAGCTTACATGATTTCTTTTCTCTTTGCCACAATGGAGCTGATTGTTGATTGCACCTTCCCGTACATCCTGCCAAGTTCAGAAATGCATATGCCACTATCATATTTTTGAACAATTTCTTTTTTCATTTCTACGGTGTTCCTCACTTTTTTTACCAAAGGACTGGCACTAGGAGCTTTCTTTGGGGCCACAGTGGCTTATTTAGCCATCACACACAATAAATAAGTGCCAAAAAGAATGGATTATTACGAAATGTTTCATGTGACCTGGCAGGATATGTTCACTCACCGAGAAACAACGCGACACTGCCTGAGAATGCGTGTGGGAGGCAGCTTTGTGCATGCGCTGGGCACTGGACAGATTCCGTATGATCGACAAAAACGGAGGAAATCGACAAAAACAGAACTAAAATATCGACGAAAAAATCAACGAAAACAGAAATTGACGATAATGGAGATAGACAAAAAGAGAGGGTCTACTGTATTGAGTATAAGATTATGTTGTTTTCCACATGTCTACGAGATATGGAAAACTATATAATCTTATACTCAATATCACATTTGAGGGAGGGAGTATGGGAGAAGTGAATGCGTTCAGATATTTGGGAGTAGACTTGTCAGTGCCTGCACTCTGAAGGAGGGGTGTTAATGTTGCAGTTTAAAAACTGTAGTGTAAAGCACCCTTCTGGCAAGACAGTGATGGAGTGAATGATGGTGAAAGTTTTTCTTTTTCAGGCCACCCTGCCTTGGTGGGAATCGGCCAGTGTGATAATAATAATAAATAATAAAGGTAAACCACAGAACTGATGAAGGAAAAAGTGTGGGTGGTGCATTGAGGCATCAGTGGAGACAAAGAACATTAGCCAAGGAGGCAAAGAAGGGAATGTATGAGAGTATAGTGGTACCAACCCTTATATATGAGTGTGAAGCATGGATTGTAAATGCTGCAACAAGGAGGAGGCTGGAGGCAGTGGAGATCTCATGTCTAAGGGCAATGTGCGGTGTAAATATGCTGAGAATTTGTAGTGTGGAAATTAGGTGTGGAGTTACTAAAAGTATTATTCGGAGGGCTGAGAAGGGGTTGTTGAGGTGGTTTGGTCGTTTAGAGAGGATGGACCAAAATAGGATGAGTTGGAGGGTGTGTAAATCTGTAGTGGAGGGGAGGAGGGGTAGGGGTCATCCTAGGAAAAGTTGGAGGGAGGGTGTAAAAGAGGTTTGTGAGCAAGGGGCTTGGACATACAGCAGGCATGTGTGAGCATGTTAGATAGGAGTGAATGGAGACGAATGGTGTTCGGGACTTAATGAGCTGTTGGAGTGTGAGCAAGGTAATATTTTGTGAAGGAATTCAGGGAAACCGGATTGCTGGACTTGAGTCCTGGAGGTGGGAAGTATAATGCCTGCACTTTGAAGGAGGGGTTTGGGATATTTGCTGTTTGGAGTGACATCTGAACTGTCATATCTGAGAGCCTTTGCAAAGAGTGATTATGTATGAATGATGGTGAAAGTGTTGAATGACATTGAAAGTGTTTGTTTTTTTTGGTCACCCGGCCTCAGTGGGAGAAGGCCAATGTGTTGAAAGAAATAAGTCTGTGACAATGAGCATATGGATATGTAGTTTTTGCACATTGAGCAGATGTTGGGATATGTTAGGGAGGGGTATTTTGAAGATGTTGGCCATAGTATTGTTCCTTTTTGTTCTGAAATGTTACAAGTTTGATAATGGGTACCTGGAGGGTGTTCCTGGATAAGTAGAATTCAATGTCAATATAAACATACCTTGCTTCTTTTCTTTCATAATTATAAAGGGCTTTTGCACAAGGCTGGAGAGTTGATCCCTGAAAAACAATATGAAATACATATGAAAATTTAAGTCCAGTGTAAGTGAAAATGGATAATACATACATTGCAAGTCTAAAACACAGTTAACATAATATTAATATGCATAAACTATTTTAATGTTCCTTGAAAATATAATCAGAGGAAAACTCACATGACTGAAACTGGTGAAACCATTAAGTCCTTCATTCCAATTTGGTCAAAGATGATATTAAACACCAACAAGTACATAAATAAGATAAATTGCAGCACTAGGACTTTTAATATAAAAGTATTTTGCTTTATGTTAATAAAATGCAGACTGAAAAAGAAGTAAAGTATATATTGATGGAACAAGGTGAGGCCTATGCATGAAATCACTGCCTCCCTCTATCCATCAACATTTAACAGCTCAAAATATTATCTCCATCCCTTCAATACCTCCACCTCATCTATAACTTCTCTCTTCTGTTTTTAACTGTTAAATCCATTCATTCCCTAGGGTTTCTCAACATATTATTCTAACTCCAAAACTTTTTATTCTCAGCAAAAATTATTGACAGAGCCTCACCCACTCTCTCATTTACTCTTTTTACACTCTCCATATACTCCACCCTCCTGATATCACTTCTGCTTTGTAAAACCTCTCATATGCTAACTTTTTCTCTCTTACCACTCTTTACCTCATCGTTCCAGCAATAGCTTCTCTTCCCTCCCACACCCACCCTCCGATATCCTAAATCAACAAACTTCTGAAAAATTACAGGAAGACATAAGCAGGGTTTTCCAGTAGGCAGTGGAGAACAACATGATGTTCAATGGTGATAAGTTTCATCTGCTTAGGTATGGAAAGAATGAAGAACTCAAAAGGAACACTATGTACAAAACTCAAGAGGGTCACCATATAGAATGAAATGAACACATAAAAAGACCAGGGAATAATTATGTCAGCTGACCTTTTTTTTTAAGACCATAACAAAACAAAGATCACAACAGCCAGAAAGATGACAGGGTTGGTACTGAGAACTTTCAAAACAAGGGAAATAATGCCAATGGTGAAACTCTTGAAATCGCTAGTGCTCCCTCATTTAGAATATTGCTTAGTGCTGATGGTCACATTCAAAGCAGGAGAAATATCAGAGCTGGAACAAATACGGAGATCGTTTACGGCTCACTGAGCCAGTAAAGCACCTAAATTACTGGGAACGCCTTCAAGTCTTGAACATGTACTCAATGGAATGGAGGAGAGAAAGATACATGATAATATATACCTGGAAAGTACTCAAGGGCCTGGTCCCAAATCTGCACACTGCCATAACAACATACTGGAGTGAGAAATATGGGAGGAAGTGCAAAACAAACCCAGTGAGGAGCAGGGGTGCAGGGGGGATGAACAATAAAGAAACATTATCAACATTCGGGGTCCCAGACTATTCAACATCTTACCAGAAGATATTAGAAACACAGCTGGAACAAGAGTAGAAGCCTTCAAGAGGAAACTGGACAAGTATCTTCACCAGGTGCCAGATCAACCAGGCTGTGATAGATATGTGGGGCAGCAGGCCTCCAGCAGCAACAGCCTGGTTGACCAGGCAAGCACCAGACAAGCCTGGCCCATGGCCAGCACAATTACTCTCTCACTTGGTTTAAAAACTCCCTAAACATTCACCATTCCCAAAATCTTTGTCTCCTCTATGCTCATCTCTGCACCAGGTGCATAAACATAGTATAACCCACTTTGTCGAACCAACCTTTATTTTAAACCCCATAATCCTTGAACTTATACATTTACATTACCTCTTTTCCTCCCATAACGGATCATTCAACATTACCACTACTCATTCCTTAGCTCTAACTCTCTCATATATACCTGATTTAATCCCATTTATTTCCCTAGACTGAAAATCTCCTACACCCTTCAGCTTTGTTTCACTTAAGAGCAAAGACATCCAATTTCCTTTTGTAATAATATTTACAATAACCTCTTTCTTATCATCTATACTACATCCACACACATTCAAACATCCCAACTTTATAAAGTTCTTCCATTTAATTAAACTTTAAAATAATCAAATAAAGTAACTTTACCTGTCTTTGCTGTGCCACAATCGGCAGTAACACAGTCTGTGAAGCAGGAGAAGCAGATGAGGTGGTGATATTCATGTTAATGATGCCAAGGGATGAGACACCAGACATTGATGAACTTGTACCAATTTCAGTAGTGCTTCCTTCACGTCCAAGTGATCTTCCATATCCTCCTCCTCTTCCCAAACTGTTGCAGTTTACACCATTTCCTTCAGAGGAACCTCCTGTACTTCTAGTCCCTCCACCAGCAATCCCAGCTAAATGCCCTCCAGAGGAAGGTGGAACTTCAGAAGTGGAGGATGATCCTGTGTATGAGGTGGACGAGAAGCCATGAAGCGAGGGTGGTGGAGGAGCTTCATTAAGGGGAGCACCATCTTGCGATTCAGGCCTGCCAGGAGGCTGACTAGGATGAGGCACTGTCTGAGATGGCTTCAGAGGTTGGTTTAATGCACATCGTGGAGCACTTTTCATGCTTTCCAATATTCTCATTAATAAAATATTTGGAGGCAATTCGTCCACAGGCACCTCTACCAATACGCGGCATTCTGGGCATCTCAGCTCCTGAAAAAACAGTATAATAAAATAAAAGTATAAAACATTTCCTATTCAGACATAAATAAATTATACTTTGTGCAATTTAAAACTTGGAATAAGGCTGAAAATTCTTTATAATTTTCCAGTAAGTTTTTCAGGAGACTGTTACACCAACAAGATAAGATACTTTATTTCAGCATGATACAATGTTTGTACAGAGGTGGATGACATTTAGGTGTGCATGAAGAAAGCCTCTTAATATGCAGAGCATTCCGGACACACTTAATTCTAACTTAAGATTAATAAGATGACAAACTGAGTGGTTTTATATAGTCTCTTAGGTAGTTGCAAATATAAATTTAGGAATTACAATGAATACAAAAGAATTGAATATCATATTAGTACATGCTATATGGCTTTTATCAAGTTTTACCAATGTTTTAACCCTTTCAGGGTTGGTGCCATACTAGTACGGTTTGCACACCAGGGTTGGTACTGTACTTGTACGCATAAATTCTAGCGCCTTCAAATCTAGGGAGAGAAAGCTGGTAGGCCTACATATGAATGAATGGGTCTATGTGGCCAGTGTGCACAGTATAAAAAAAATCCCGCAGCACACAGTGCATAATGAGAAAAAAAAAACTCAGACCGTGATTTTGCTTTAACCCTTTGACTGTTTCCGACGTATAAATACGTCTTACGAGCCAATGTTTCTGACGTATTTATACGCATAAATTCTAGCAGCTTCAAATCAAGCAGGAGAAAGCTGGTAGGCCCACATGTGAGAGAATGGGTCTCCATGGTCAGTGTGCACCATATAAAAAAAATCGGGGAGCCAGTGGTGCATTGTGGGAATGCCATTTCAGTTGTCATTTTTCAGCATGTCTAGCGGTAAGAAATATGTGATTCCCCAGCAAATCTGGGACTCTTCTCTTCCCAAGTGATGCTCTAACACAGATGGAAGTGTCAGTGAAGATCAATTTCATGATTTGGAGGAGTTTGAGACCAAAAGCAATGGAGGAGGAGGAGGGGGAGGAGGGGAGGAAGAGGAGGAGGAGGAGGAGGAGGAGGAGGGAAGGAAGAGGAGGAGGAGGAGGAGGAGGAGGAGGAGGAGGAGGAGGAGGAGGAGGAGAAGAGGAGGAGGAGGAGGAGGAAAGAAGAAGATGTAAATAATATTGTTCCCTTGAAGCAAGAAAAAAAAAAGTCCACCCCATGACAGTGACAAGATAAGGGGAGATAACATCTGATAAGAGCTGACTTTGATGAGGGTAAAGGAGGGTAATATTACATGACCATTGCCCTCCCTTTGTTTTTGCTGGTACACAAACATTTCTGTCTGTCTATTTGTCTGTCTGTCAAGCTCCCTGTCTGTCCATCTAGCTCTCTGTCTCAGAGAGAGCCACAAGACTGTGTCATCACGTTTACTCACATCTTCAAGCAGAGTATAGCACTTTGTCTGGATTTCTTGGGTTATCCTAGGTAATTTACACTATGTATACTTGTATTTATGTGTACCTGTGAGATAGAGATAGGCAGACAGAAAGAGAGACAGATTGAAAGATATAGAATGAGGGAGAAAGATAATTAGATAGAATGGAGGAGGGGAAGCAGCATCCGACCCCATTGTTTTGACAGGCGGTAGGGTAGTGACTAATGACACAATATGTCACTTTGACAGCTGCCGACTCCTGACTCAAAACAATTATAAGCCACACACTCGCACACAAGGAGGAGGAGGAGGAGGAGGAAGAAGAAGAAGAGGAGGAAGAAGAAGAAGAGGAGGAAGAAGAAGAGGAGGAGGAAGAAGAAGAAGAGGAGGAAGAGGAGGAGGAAGAGGAGGAGGAAGAGGAGGAGGAAGAGGAGGAGGAAGAGGAGGAGGAAGAGGAGGAAGAGGAGGAGGAAGAGGAGGAGGAAGAGGAGGAAGAGGAGGAGGAAGAGGAGGAGGAAGAGGAGGAGGAAGAGGAGGAGGAAGAGGAGGAGGAAGAGGAGGAGGAAGAGGAAGAGGAGGAAGAGGAAGAGGAAGAGGAAGAAGAAGAAGAATTGTTTGTTTGTTTTTGTAAACAAGTTTTGTAAACAATATATGATAATTATGTTTGTGTGCTTGTTGTGTTGTATACAACGAGTGTATATATATACATTGCACCTTACTTTGGTCTCATAGGCCACATAAGTTATGTGAAAAAATAAAATAGTGAAAAAAACAAAAAACCTTCAATTACAAGTAAACTAAAGTTTACCGGGTGAGCGGCAGTCGCCGCTGTTGCCATACGCGGCTCATTTTCTGCAAACTTCATGGCTCTATATCTCGGTAAGTACCGATGGCAAAAATTTTTTTTTTGGACTAAAACACTCAGAAAAATAATCTTAACATTTTCATAAGAAAAAATAATTTTTTTTTTTTGAATATTTGGCGACAAGAATGACAGTTTCAGAGAGGGACCTGAAACAGTCAAAGGGTTAAAACAGTGAGTTTGCAGTGTATTTTCGTATGCTATTTATGGTTGTATTCTAGTTTTCCTGGTCTCATTTTATAGAATGGAAGACATATTACAGAAATTGAAATGATTTTGATTAGTTTCACAATGAAAAGTACCTTGAAATTGAGCTCAAAGTAGCAGAAATGTTCGATTTTTGCCAAAGTTCAAAAGTAAACAAATCATGCCACGCGTCCGATACATATCAACTGGCGCGTCTAATATTCTTTCACAAGTGCACTGATATTATTTATACCATTTCTACACTAATGCAGTAGTATGCATAACAGTAAATCTTCTATTTTTTTGTGAGAATAAAAATTCAAAGTGGAAAGCAAAAGAAATGTAAGAGAGGCCTGGGGACCTGACTATTGAACAGAAAAAATGTTATTTTAGTGCCAGGAATATCTGTCTTGTTTATTCTGGACCCTATTTGGAAATTGGCATCTTTTGAAATTTGTGTGAAATTGGCAAAATTGCCAATTTCTGACCGCTTTATTGGATAGTTGAAATCGGTAAATGGGTGGTTTCTTGTACTCATTCGATAGAAAAAAATGGAGTTCTAGCGAAATAGTAATGATTTTTGTCGACTGGTACATTGGAACTGGCTGAAAATAGGGCGCAACGTGGGTGAAATCGTTGATGCGTAAACATCGTCGAGACCGCTAACTTCGCAAGAGCATAATTCCGTAAGTTTTCCATCAAATTTCATACTTTTGGTGTCATTATGATTGGGAAAAGATTCTCTATCACTTCAAAGGAAAAAATAAAAAAAAAAATAAAAAAAATTTCCGACCCTGAGAACAAGTTTAGGAGAGTGCCTACCAACCCTGAAAGGGTTAATGGCTGCGAGGATTACAGATATTAAGATTATATTTTTTCCATATGTTTGTGACACTAAGAATATGGATACAGAGCTTTCACATATTTAGCTGATGTTGGAATATGTTAGGGAGAGGTGTTTTTGAACAGTAGTTTTGAAGATGCTAGCTGAGACAGTGGCTCTAAAAATTTCTGGAAGTGTTTTCCAGACTTTGAGCCCTTTTATGTACAGTGAATTTTTACAGAGATTTAGCCGGACAGGGGGAATGTCAAAGAGATTTCTGTGCCTGGAACTATGTCTCAGAAACGGTTCTGTTGCAACTTTCAAGAAATTGTTTCAGGTCTGGATTAATATTAGAATTTATTGTTCTGTAAATGTTTGATGCATAGTGTAAGAGTGAATGTTTTACACAGCAAGTAGATTTAGGTCTTTGAAGAGTTGGGAGGGGGGGGGGAGGGGTGTAGCAGTGGACTGTGTGATCATTTATACTGCGGCTGTTTGTTGAGGAATTACAGTGGACCCCCGGTTAACGATATTTTTTCACTCCAGAAGTATGTTCAGGTGCCAGTACTGACCGAATTTGTTCCCATAAGGAATATTGTGAAGTAGATTAGTCCATTTCAGACCCCCAAACATACACGTACAAACGCACTTACATAAATACACTTACATAATTGGTCGCATTCGGAGGTAATCGTTATGTGGGGGTCCACTGTATTGGCTTAGGGCGATTTGCTGTTGTGGATCCCCAGGCACAAATAGTGTAGGTGAGGCAGGGGTAGATCAGTGAATAGTATAATGTAAGTAATGCTGCTTGTGGTACACAATAACAAAACTTTGAGAGGATCCGATCTGTTTTGGATACTTTTTTTTTTGTAACGTGTTGGATATGGGTGATGAATTTCAAGTTGCTCTCAAGGTGCAGACCCAGAAATTTTCCCTTATTGTGTTTAGCAATAACTGTGTTGTTAATCAGTGTTTAGTTGGATATTACTTGCTCTGCTCCCAAACATAATATAGAAGGTTTTGTCAATGTTAAGTGTAAGTTTATTGGTAGTCATCCGGGTTGACATTTTTAAGAGGTCTTCATTAACAATGTTACTGAGTGATGCTGGTTTTGGGTGTGAGATGACAAAAGTTGTGTCATCAGCAAAGAGAATAGGTCTAAGTTGCTGAAATACACTTGCAAGGCCATTGATGTATAAAAGGGAAAGTAGGGGGGCCAAGGACACTTCCCTGTAGAACACCAATGTACAGAAGTCTTGTTTAGGAGGTTGTGTCCCTAACAGACATGTACTGCTGTCGGTTAGTAAGGTATGACTTTATATATGCAAGTACATGGCCTCTGATACTGTAATGATCAAATTTATGAAATAGGATGCTGTGGTTTACTGTATCAAAAGCTTTCCTTAGATCAATAGAGAGTCTTAGCGAATATTCATTTTTTCAATTGCCAAAAGTACAATGATGACAATTCTAATAATGAAAGTTGGTATTTAGTGAAAAACAATCTGATACACTGTCTTGAGTTGGCTCAGAAAACAAATGCAAAGAAATGAACTTGTAATCAGCTGATGCAATTAAGGAAACACGGAGAAAGAAAAATTGTCAACAGATGAGAATAGGAAAACTCGTGTAGGCCTTCAAAGATACATATATCAAAGTTATATTGACCCCTTGACTGTCGCAACCCCAAATCCTGAGGTGTCTCCTGGTGTCACAAAAAAAAAAAAAAAAAAAAAAAAAAAAAATTCATATGAAATAAGAGAATCTTTTCCCAATTGTAATGGCACCAAAAGAACGAAATTTGATAGAAAACTGATGGAATTACGCTCTCGTGAAGTTAGCAACCTCGGCGATATTTACGAATCAGCGATTTCGCCCTCTTTAAGCCCTATTTTCAGCTAATTCCATTGTTCCAGTAGACCAAACTCAGCTATTTCTTTAGAACTCGATTAGTTATATCGATTGAGTACAAGAAACTGCCCATTTACCAATTTCAACTACCCAATAACGTGCTCAGAAATTTGCAATTTGGCCAATTTCACGAAAATTAAAAAAATATGACAATTTCAAAATAGGGTCCAGAATGAACAATGCAGACATTTCTGGCTCTAAAATAACATTTTCTTTGTTCATCAGTCACATCTCCAGGCCCCTCTGATATTACTCTTGCTTTCTATTTTGAATTTTTATTCAAACAAACAATAGAAGATTTACTGTTATGCAGACTACTGCAATACTGTAATAATTGTATAAATAATGTCAACCCATTCATGACTGCATATTAGAATGGCTACTTGGACATTTATTGCAAAATGACATCATTTGTTTACTTTTGAACATCAGCAAAAATCAAACATTTCCCCTACTTTGAGCTCCATTTCCAGGTTCTTTTCATAGTAAAACCAATCAAAATCACCTCTATTTCTATAATATGTTTTCCATTCTATCAAATGAGACCAAGAAAACGAGAATACAGCTATAAATACTATATGAAAACAGACCACAAAGTCGGCATTTTAATTAAAAGAAAAAAGTCGGAGTTTTTTTTTTCTCATTATGCACTGCGTGCTGCAGGATTTTTTTTTATATGGTGCACATTGACCACACAGACCCATTTTCTCACATGTGGGCCTACCAGCTTTCTCCTGCTTGATTTGAAGCCACTAGAATTTGAGTATATATACGTTAAAAAACGGTGGCTCGTAAGACGTATATATATACGACCGAAACAGTCAAAAAGTTAAAGATATCAAAGTTATGATTCCATAAAGTATTAAAACCAGTCATGTCTAAAATTGTTTTAGCTTTAATTTGTATCTGTACATGTGAAATATTACCTTATGAGTCTGTACAATGTCATTGAGACAACGACGACAAAATGTATGTTGACAGGGGAGGACCCGAGACGTGCAACCAAGCTGCTCTAAGCACACTGAACACTCTAATGCATCACTCAGTAGCAACTGCTCCATCCTCACTCCAGGTGCCAAAACTACATTACAACCTCATTTCACTATCTGAAAGAAACACAAAAACTTTTTATTGCCAGTGCGTTAAAATAGTATTGGCAAAAAGCATTCCTGAAGCATTTAAAACTATATACAGTGGTACCCCGAGTTTCAAACTTAATCCGTTCCAGGAGCTAGTTCTAAAGTCGAAATGTTCGAAACTCAAAGCAATATATTCCATAAGAAATAATGTAAATACAATTAATCCGTTCCAGAAACTTAGAAATATTCACCAAAAAAAAAAAAAAAAATACATTTTATATATATTAATTATAGTTTTACATACACACAACAAATATACATAGTACAATTAGTAACAGATAAATAAACATTTAATTTGTTATTATTTTATTAACACATCGGCCGATTCCCACCAAGGCAGGGTGGCCCGAAAAGGAAAAACTTTCATCATCATTCACTCCATCACTGTCTTGCCAGAGCAGTGCTTTACACTACAGTTATAAAACTGCAACATTAACACCCCTCCTTCAGAGTGCAGACACTGTACTTCCCATCTCCAGGACTCGAAGTCCGGCCTGCCAGTTTCCCTGAATCCCTTCATAAATGTTACTTTGCTCACACTCCTACAGCACGTCAAGTATTAAAAACCATTTGTGTCCATTCACTCCTATCAAATATGCTCATTGCTGGAAGTCCAAGCCCCTTGCACACAAAACCTCCTTTACCCCCTCCCTGCAACCCTTCCTAGGCCGACCACTACCACGCCTTCCCTCCACTACAGATTTATACACTCTCCAAGTCATTCTATTTTGTTCCATTCTCTCTACATGTCTCAACCACCTCAACAACCCCTCCTCAGCCCTTTGGTAATCCCACACCTTCTCCTAATTTCCAAACTACAAATTCTCTGCATTATATTCACACCACACATTGCCTTCAGACATGACATCTCCATTGCCTCCAGCCTTCTCCTCATTGCAACGTTCATCATCCATGCTTCACACCCATACAAGAGTGTTGGTACAACTATCCTCTCATACATTCCCCTCTTTGCTTCCACGGACAATATTGTTTGTCTCCACAGACTCCAAAGTGCACCATTCACCCTTTTCCCCTCATCAATTCTATGATTCAGCTTATCCTTAATAGACCCATCTGCTGACACGTCCACTCCTAAATATCTAAATACATTCACCTCCTCTATACTCCATACTTACCTTTATTGAAGACTGTTGGTGGGATCTGGAAGACAGGGAGGTGGTGTGAGGGAGCACTTAGTGTTTGGAAGGAGAATCCCCTTCCTTAAAGACTTTAGGTAACAAGATCTTATCTGGGGTTACTTCCCTTCTTTAAGATTTCCCTAAAATGGGACATGGTTCTGTCACTGAACATGTTGCAGAGATGGCTTGTTTCAGCTTGCTTAGGGTGATATTTTTCAGCAAATGCCTGCACCTTATTCCACACTGCACAAATCTCCTTAATCTTTGAAAAAGGCACCATCCACCACCACCACCATGTAGCCCGGTGGCCTGGTGGCTAAAGCTCCTGCTTCACACACAGAGGGCCCGGGTTCGATTCCCGGTGGGTGGAAACATTTTGACACATTTCCCTACACCTGTTGTCCTGTTCACCTAGCAGCAAGTAGGTACCTGGGTGTTAGTCGACTGGTGTGGGTCGCATCCTGGGGGACAAGATTGAGGACCCCAATGGAAATAAGTTAGACAGTCCTCGATGACGCCCTGACTTTCTTAGGTTATCCTGGGTGGCTAACCCTCTGAGGTTAAAAATCCAAACGAAATCTTATCTTACCATCCACCACCACCACCGTCCACCATCACCACCATGGTAGCTTATTTCACAGTCACACTTAATAAACAGGCACCAAACACAATGAATTAATTGTGAAATGTTTAACCCAATCAGGGTTTCGGACATACTAGTACAGCTTACGCACCAGGGTTTTTGACATACTAGTACACCTAAATTCTAGCGCCCTCAAATCTAGTGAGAGAAAGTTGGTAGGCCTACATATGAAAGAATGGGTCTATGTGGTCAGTGTGTGAAGTATAAAAAAAATCCTGCAGCACACAGTGTGTAATGAGAAAAAAAAACTTTGTGTTTTTTGGATTAAAACAGCGACTTTGCACTGTATTTTCGTATGGTATTTATTGTTGTATTCTAGTTTTCCTGGTCTCATTTTATAGAATGGAAGACATATTACAGAAATTGAGATGATTTTGACTGGTTTTACAATGAAAAGTACCTTGAAATTGAGCTCAAAGTAGCAGAAATGTTTGATTTTTACCAAAGTTCAAAAGTAAACAAATCATGCTAAGCGTCCAATACACGTCAACTGGTGAGTCTAATATTCTTTCACAAGTGCGCCAATATTATTTATACCATTTCTACACTAATGCAGTAATCTGCATAACAGTAAATCTTCTATTTTTTGTGAGAATAAAAATTGAAAGTGGAAAGCAAAAGAATGTAGGAGGGGCATGGGGACGTGACTAATGAACAGAGGAAATGTTATTTTAGTGCCAGGAATGTCTTTCTTGTTTATTCTGGACCCTATTTGGAAATTGGCATCTTTTGAAATTTGTGTGAGATTGGCAAAATTGCTAAATTCTGACCACTGTATTGGATAGTTGAAATCGGTAAATGAGTGGTTTCTTGTACTCATTTGATAGAAAAAATGAAGTTCTAGTGAAATAGTTATGATTTTTATCAACTAGTACACTGGAATTGGCCGAAAATAGGGCTCAAAGTGGGCAAAATCGCCGATGCATAAACATCGTCGAGACCGCTAACTTCGCGAGAGCATAATTCCGCAAGTTTTCCATCAAATTTCATACTTTTGGTGTCATTATGACCGGGAAAAGATTCTCTATCTTTTCATAAGAAAAAATAATATTTTTTTTGAAATTTGGGCGACCCTGAGAACATGTCTGGGAGAGGGCCTGGGGACCCTGAAAGGGTTAAATGAGCATGCAGGTTAGTGCTCACTCAAGCACAAACAAAGCCAGTCTGGTTCACGATGCCTGCGCAGGGGACGCAGCCAGGAGCAGGCAGGCAGACAGGTCTGATACACAGTTTGAAACACGGGGCACGTTTGGTACTCGGGACAAAATTGGTGTGAAAAAAGCGGTTGAAACTCAAAGTGCTCGATAGTTGATGCGTTCGAAATTCGGGGTTCCAGTACGTATTACTATATGAAATACTAATACTGTACTGTCAATACTATTTTGTGTTACTGCCCCCCTTATACTACATTGCTATTATACATAGACAGTTTTGATTGATAAAATTAACCTTGGAGAAATCTGTTTAGTTAATCTTAGCATTACACAATTTATCTTTGAGATAATCAACAGTAAGTAATTTTAAGTTTATAGTTTTAATTGTTGAAATGCAATGCATAACTAGAGGCTTTCCCATTTAAGACAACACCACTGTAATTACCTATTCATGATATAATCACCTGTTCATTATATTAAAACTTTCAGGGTCCAGAGGTCAAATTTCAAAGTGTGCACCAGTGTCCAAGAATTTTCAAAAAGCAATTTTGTTATTTTTTCTTATGAAATGGTAGAGAATCTTTTTCTATAGTTAATAAAACAAAAACTATGAAATTTGATGGAAAATTGACGAAATTATGCTCTCACAAATTTTGATGTGTGAGCGATATTTACGCATTGGCGATTTTGCCGACTTTGTCTCCCATTTTAGGCCAATTACCTTATTCCAGTCGATCAAATTCATAGCTATTTCACTAGTATTACTTTTATTCTATCGATTGAGCACAAGAAATCGCCAACTCAGCTGTTTCAACCACAAAATAAAGTGATTTGAAATTGGTAATTTGGCCAATTTAGTGCAAAGTTCAAAATATTCCAATTTCAAAATAGAGTCCAGAATAAACAATGCAGACATTCCTGGCACTAAATTAACATTTCCTCTGTTCATTAGTTATGTTTTCAGGCTTTACAAATGAATTCCATTTTGATTTTTAATTCACATGAGTTTTTATTCAAACCAAAAAATAGAAGATTTACTGTCATGCAATATTGTAATAATTGTATAAATAATATCAGCACATTTGTGAACATACATTAGACCCACCAGCTGGCGTGTATTAGACGTGTGAGGTCATTTGTTTACTCTTGAACACTGGCAAAAATTTAACATTTCCGCTACCTTGAGCTCAGTTTCCAGCTATTTTCAATACTAAAACCAATCAAAATCATCTCTATTTCTGTAATATACCTTCCATTCTATCAAATGAGACCAAGAAATCACAAATACAACTATAAAAAAACATACAAAAAACACTGCAAAGTTGCTGTTTTAATCAAAAATTATGGTCTCAGTTTTTTTCTCTCATTATGCACTGTGTGCTGCAGGATTTTTTTTTTGTGTGGTGCACACATACCACATAGATGTATTCTCTCATATCTAGGCCCAAATTTACCGCTCACAGCTTATCAGAGTGAGCTGAGCTCATGGCATAGATCTATGGTTTGGACCCTCTACATAAAGCCGTAGGTCTACAGCACAGACCCTGAAAGGGTTAAACTTTTCAATGGCTGTACTATTTAATACATACTCTTAATTCTTTCCATTGATCTACTACTCTGATTGCAAAGAAAAATTTTCTAGTACCCCCTGGGTTTCACTTTTTTCTCAATTTAAAGCTGAGACGTCTTGTTATTCCTGTTGCAGATATGAAAAAATCTAATATTTCACAAACATTTATGGCTTTGGGAGCAAGGGGCTAGTAACCCATTCTCCTATATACAATACTAAAGTTAACCCCTAACGGTCCAAACGTATACATTATATACATTCTTATGCGTAGCACCCCAAACGTATATATACGTTTTATTTTTCCTGCTTCCAAATTTGGCACGATTGGCCTGAGATGCCTGGTCAGCATAGAATTGGTCTTAACACTCGGTGTGCGCAGTATCAAAAAAATCTGGGGCCACTTAGTACCTTGTGGGAGCGCCAGTTAAACTGAGCGCCAGCTAGAGCAAACAGTGCGTCAA